GATCCAATGTCAGTTAATATTGTCCGTCAGTCGATGGGTAGGCATGTGTAACACATGTCTTAACCATCTCAATCGGTGTAACTTCACAACCTTGTCTGTCGATTTCCACTCTTTACCTAGCACTCGACCGACACCTAACCTCAATGTTGCTGACCTTATTATACCATCACGTAACATGGGAGATAGAACGCAGACACCTATGATCAAAGACAGCTAGCCAGGCTTTTCATGTTCTCTACTCTCAAAGGCCAGGTCTCACAGCCATAGAGGAGGATGGAGCGGACTGCTGAGCAGTACACACATCCTTTAGTCGACAGTCAGCCGGATATCAAGTTTACGCCGGAGATGGTGTAAACTGGCATATGCGAAACGAGCCTTCTGTATCTGTGATGAGATTTCCTCAGAGATCAACCCGTTGGCGTTGGCTGATGCAACTTCCCAAATAAGTGAAGTAGTCAACACGCTCCAGCAACCACTTCACTTCCTATTTCTAAGCTAGGAGTTAATGTAGTCCGGTCCAGTCCTGTAGCATGTTTTCACTTGAAGACCTCCTCAGTGTATCTTCATTCCCTTCTGAATATGTATTGGGCAATGGACTATTGGCTAGATCTGCAGTAAAGTTTCTGCTTAGTTATTCTTTCCTGTCAGCCATCTGCTCTTTCTTCAGTAGGGGAAACCAGAGAAAATCGCTGTTCAAGAATGGTTGCAACAGCCTATTGGGAAATGCTTATTGGTGATGTGCACGCCACTGAACCATCATAGAAGCACTAACTGGATATCAGTGTTGAAAACGCGAATCTTACCTTCCTATGTTGATTACGACAGATTTCAGAGGGTAATGAAGATGTCTCTCTTGCTTTTCCACACAATACCAAATACCTACATCAGATTCTTCGAGCAACTACCAAGGAGCTTCCACTTAAACACCTGATAGGCACAGGACATCGAGTAGACCTTCTGGGATCATTCAAAATAATTAACAGATATAATAGGTCAAGTCATCTTCTCTTTGCTGAAGTTATCATGATAAAACAACTGAAACGTGACCTACGTAACTTTAATTACCCTGATGACTCTTCCCTTAGTAACTCTCTGTCTTGATAACGTCGTTAACTTATCTTTTCACCCCTGCTTTTCGGTCTGAGTTCTAAGCACTGTATTGAATAACCACCATCATCCTCTTATTTGACCTCTTGCACCCCAAATTCTTCTCTTCTCTTATCTACCGACGTAGTTGTTACTAACCTTTGTTGCCGCGCTAACAATAAATCCTGTAACCAATCAATCAAATCCCTACAAACCAATACTTGAATATCAATGAGATGCCCCCTTGCGACTGGACCTATTCAGGTAGGTAGTTACCTGGGGTTCTAGTGGGAAGTCGTAACCAGGAGGATACAACAGGTCAGGCGTCAGGACAAATACTCACCACCGATGACATTAGCTAGTGGTCGCACTACGTCGTGAATTGGCAGAAGTTGGAATTCATGTACTGACTATTGGATTGTGTCCCAGTGGCTTAATGGTCTACGAGATAGCTCGCCACCTTGTGACCAGATGGTGGGTGCATACTGATGAAGAGTCCCAAAATAGGGCGAAACAACTGCCCTAGTACTCTCAGGTTTTCCAATGGTTCTCTAACCGATGTCAGCTCATGATGACACTTTTTAACCAAACAAATTTATGAGTTAATTTTTCAAGAAACTCTCTAACAGGATATATTTACATATATATGCACTGTAATACCTCAGTGACCTTATCATCTCAATGCTTTATTTCACTAAGACACTCCTATAATATGCCTATTAACAGACACAAATTATGCGTCGTAGACAGCTGATGCGATGAACCAACAAAAAATAGGTATGCAAAACTTGAGCACTGTGGTAGTAAGTAATTCCATATTAGTTTGTTTATTAGATGTATCACACAGTGAAACAATATTAGTGTTTACTGGATGACGTTTCCAACACAATTTATTTATTGTTCATTATCATATCAATTATAATCACACGACTTCGAAATTTGAGTTTTATAGCTTTCTTCGTTCTCTCCTATTTGTCGTCATAGGGGAAGTAGAGTCTTCCAGATGTACGACTGGACAGGTGTTGAATCATTCCTATTACACATATTTGCAGTTGAGTCGATAAACAAGGCTTCCGTTGTCAATCTCTCCCTACACCCTGTCACATTATATTTTAAAACTGTCATCTTATCTCATCCATCCTATTGTATAGTTGTGTTGTGCGTAATTGCATGTAGTGAGTGCTACAGCTGAACTATTCTTTAGATTTTTGATCCTATTCGGGTCAACAAATCTAGATTTTGATAGGTTTTATGCTCCGCTAGTCTCACTGACATCGTTCTACTACTTTGACCTGACAATCATTGCAGGCGGGGTTTAGATAAACTAAATGGTTTTGTTTTTAAGGCTCCACAGGATTGATCCTTTAACCGACGAAACTTGTTTCCAACTGAGTTTGTGGGTTTGAATGCTGGCCGCTTTTATTCCTGGTCGTACTATTAACAGTTCTCCCTAAGGTTTCCGAGGATCCCTCTTTGTATGGAAGTACTACTGATGATTTAGATTCCCTATTATTGGTGTTGTCATTATCCTGTGCATGTTTGACATGCATGTAGTCATTAATATTACTATTATTATTGTTATTATCACTATCACTACTATCATTACTTTAGTTTTACATTTCACTACATACTTTCTGACTAGTATATCAGAATTATTAGATTTCAAAGCTTCTCTTATATGCCTCACTTCCTATCTTAGATTTTCCTTGGTACTACTTAGTTTTTGTGCTCTGTCACTTAAACATTTCACCAATCCTACTTTCACTGACATAGGATGGGATGATCGGAAATCCAAATATCCGTTTGAATGTGTGTGGGTTTCCTGTAAACACACACTAGTGTTTAACTTCCGTCTTCTTTACTTTTTACCCTAAAATCTAACATTAGCAGTTCCCCTTCCTGACTTTCCAATTCATCATAAGTGAATTGAATTGCCTCCACCTTTGAGTTAATGTGTTCAAAAAATCTGTCTATATCCTGTGTTCTAAAAACAGTGAATGTGTCATCTGCATACCTCCACCATACTTTACGGGGAAAGGGGCTGAACGTTTCATTCACTAAGTTTTCCCACTTATCCATGAATATATCTGCCACAACAGGGGATAGGAATGATTCAACACCTGTCCAGCCAGACATCTGGAAAATTCTATTACCCAAACGACAACAAATAGGAGAGAACAGAGAAGACTATAAGACTTAAGTTTTGAAGTCGTGTGATTATAATTGATATGATTATGAACAATAAATAAATTGTGTTCGAAACTTTGTCATCCAGTAAATAATACTGTTTTATTGACTATGTGATACATCTAATAAACAAACTATTATGAAAAAAAATGGATCTTTGTTATTCCTTCTCTGCTCAAATCTGTGATATATCCACCTATTTACCCACAGAAGTTCTTGTCAAGAACCACCTCTATCCATCTATCTGGCATAGAATAACATCTTCATTAGGTGAACTTGATGAAATTTATGACATGCCTACTTAAATTTACCTATTCAGTAGTTAAATGTTTATCGGCAAAAAAACAACAACACGAGTACCGTAAAGTTGAACAACACCCCTTAAACTTGCGAGACAAAATACACAAAAAAGGAATGTTTGCAAGAGAAAAATGAAAAATATTATTTTTCAATAAATATATAAATAAATCAATAAATGTGAATGAGTATATCTGTGAACAAATTGATAATAAATAATTATATATGCATAAATATTATAGGTAAGTAATAATAAGTATAAAGATGGTTCAGTTGAGTGCAGTTCAGTTCAGTTCTACTATTACTAACAATGAATAATGTTCAGAAAAGACATGAGCGGTACTACTGGAATAAGTAAAAACACAGTACGGAAGATACTCTGAAGAGCAGAACTCAAAGTTAACAAGATTCGTATTACACACTAGTAATAAGTGTAATAATAATATAGCTGCTGTTATTGTGACATCATCCAGAAAAGAAACGCACAAACATAAAGAAAAAACGAACAAAGAATTTCTCTATTGTGAAACTAATTACAACAAAAGCAAGAATATGAGGGACTCAAAGAGCGACAACAACAACAGCAACAAATGGGGGGAATCCTTACCCTCTTACACCGCCGCCTTTTTTCATACCTCTGTATTCATTCATATTTTGATATTTTCGAGATGCTTTAATCCGTCTACAATACATACACCATACTCATTTTTAATTATTATTATTCCACAATTATTTCTTCAATGAACTATATTATAATAAAATTGTCATAATAAAATGAGTAACTTTCATTATTCCCTGTTATAGGGACGACGTATCGTTGCTGTTAATGCCTGTTATTCAAATTTCAACATTATCTAATTGAATTGATTTAAACAAAGGATAAATACATATATGTATATGTATGTTCAATGTACGACTGAAACAATGTGACGCACACACACGCACATGCGTGGGCGGATGGGCAGAGGCGGGCGCGCTTCAGCGCGCGATATAAAACAACCAATAGAAAGTTAGAATCATTAAATACTGCATAATATATATACGCTCAAATAAAATACCAAATAAACTACTTATAATTCGATAAATTAGAAAGACAAATAAATAAATAAACACTCACAAGCGCGCACACAAACAAACAAGCATGGATACATGAACAAACGCATAAATGTGTGTGTGTGCGTTTTTATTGTTATATATATACATCGCACAAGAAAGAGGAAACTGTAAGATGATGAAGAAACTAGACATTTCAGAAATAAAGAGAGAGTATCAGCACATGCTCAATATTTTTTCAATAGACAAAAGAATCCAATGAACAAATTGATTGTAGTATAACTGAATATTTAGACAACAGAATCACACACACACACAACGAACGAGTAAATAAACCACAGTGGTTGTTGGCATATAATAAGGATAACAATAAGTGGTTAAGACTTTTGTTTCCGTCGATGACGGCGTTTATTCGATCTCGAAGAAGATGACGATTTCTTATTAATATTATTATTATTATAAGGATAATTCGTAGACTGTGAAGACTTTACACCAATATCAGTTGACTGTTGCTCATTTCGTTGTTGTTCTTGTCGTTGTGACTGTCCAGGAGGAATTACATCAACACCACCACCAACACCACTGGACCGATCTCTACACTTCTTCTGATTCTCCTGGTTTTCTATCTCTGTTTCTAATAAACTACTTAAATGAATTGAAGTAGTATAATGCATTGAATCGAATTTTTCATTCGTTGATGTATAATTGCTGTTGGTGTTGTTGTTGTCGTGAAATTCTTCCATTGATAAAGACAATGACTTTGACTTATGATAAAAGTATTGCAAATTATTATTGTTATTATTATTAATCCCACTGTCATGAGTTGTATTCATTATACGATCGATAAAATTCATTCGTAGACTTGACCAACTACTGTCATAATCATCTTTTTCATGAAATGACAGAGTATTTTGTCTTCTCCATATGAAGTCATTACCACTATCATTTATTAGCTGGGTGGCATCTTCTTTGTTATTATTATTACTATTAGTCTCATTGTTCAGCAAGGGAGAAATTGATGAGTTACACTTCAATGGATCGATAAGATCAATAACATAACCGACTGTTTTCAAGTTACCATTCCAGGTGAGTATAAATTGACGGCCGATTTCAACGCATTCAGGTTGTCGTGTAAAGCGTACATAAAGATGACTTGTATCCTCCAAGTGATTCTATAAAAAATAGTCGAAAAAAAGGAAATACAGAGAAGGGAATAAAATCAATAAGAAATGAATAAGGGAATTAGAGAGAAATGTGGTCAAGAGCTGACCCCACCCACCCCTCCACTCCTAATGGGGTCATAATGTATTAGAGATAATGATTATTATGGACCATCTGAGTTCTACTCACCGTATTACATCACCCTTTCATTTGACCTCTTGCACATCAAATTTTGGTCTTCTCTTATCTGTAACTAAGTAATTGTTACTAATTTTTTGTTACCACCACCCTCTAAAGAGAAATTTGTCAATAAATCTTCTAAAAAATCCCTCTTTTTTATTCCTTCACATTCCCCCAGTGGGACTTAGGGCTTTAAGCTAGAGTCTTGAAGTTTCTGTAGCAGTGATGTTTATTTTTACAGGATGGGGTTGCTAGCCTCATGCCCAACCTTTCCTCTTCACCAGTATTATTTCTGACTTAGTGAGGTAAAGGAGTGCGTCTGTGGCCGGGGATCGAACCCCGGACCATATGCATGGTTGGCGAGCGTCCTTACCGCTATACCACAGACGCAAGAATTCTCTCTACTAAGATATATATATATATTTTTTCACTGTAATACTTCAGATACCTCATCACCCTGAAGTTTTATTTCACTATTGAAACGGTGTAAGACAAAGACTTGATGAAGGTATGTTTATTTGGAAATTGGTATCTCTGTATAGCCAAATTATGTATACACCTTATCCCTAACACGCCATTTGCACAGATCTCCCGGGTTCTGTCTGCTACTTCTGGCCTTCCTTCATATTGTGTGTGTTTCTTTGTGTTCCTTTCACGCCTCCCACGTATCTGTCTCCACAACGTTGTATCGTCATTTGCTTTCTCTGACATCAAATCTATCTATCTCCCTGCTATTTGATGTTTTTACTGACGATGAACATCTCTTTCTGTACATATACTACTGATAAATCTTATCAGTAGCACTCGTCACACTATGACACTCTTACAGTATGCTTGTTGATAGACGAAAGTATCTTAAGAATTTTACACACACTTATTTTATTATAGGTGCTATACAGCTGGTGAGGTGAAACAACGCCAATGTTTGTTCGTTCTCTGAACAAATTTATTAAAAAGAAATTCTTGTATAATACGCAGATCACTTTTGAGGGAGGGAGTGAGTGATCAAATTATTGAATAGGTGTTCATTTATTGCCCTCCGCCTTTATAAGCCACAGGTATCTTTGTATATTTATTGATCTATTCACCTACTTTCTGCACCAACACATAAACACATATGAGGTTGTGAAGTTACATACCCTGCTGGAATGACTGTCCGGTCAAAGTAGTAGAACAGGGTCACCCAGTGAGACTAGTGGAGCACAAAATCCTAGAGAAATCTAGATTAGTTGACCCGACACTTAGATAAGAAATCTGGAGAACAGTTCAGCTATAGCAAGCATTACATGCAATTACACACAACCAACCATACAATAGGATGACGGGATAAGATGACAGTTTTAAAATCTAATGCAACAGAGTGGAGGGAGGAAGAGATTGATAACGGGAGCTTTAAATATCGAACCAACTGTAAACACGTGTAGTAGAAATGATTCAACACCTATCCACCAAGACATCTGTAAGATTCTATTACCCCTACGACAAACAGGAGAGAACATGGAAAACTATAAAACTCCATTTTCGAAGTTGTGTGGTTATGGTTGGCGATATGATTATGAACAATAATAAAATGTGTTCGAAATATTGTCATCCAGTAAATAATGACACTGTTTCACTGACTGTGTGATATATCTAATTAACTAATTAACATGGAATGACATACTAACACAGCGTCCAAGTTTTACACATATATTAATGTGGAATTAGAACAAGACACATATAAGGGAACAACATTGTTGTTTTCAATTAGATCTTCTTCTTCAGGCTTTACTCTAATTTACATAGATTTATATATAAAACAATTCAGCTAATGACGGTGATTTTGTGGATCAAATAATAATCTTAATAATAATGTGGTCAATGTTTTGAACGTAGTTAATAGCGATGATTATAATGATAACAAAATATTGATAATAAGGTTTATGCAGGTGGTAATAAGAATAACAAAGGTAGTGAGTGATATGTGTATATGTAGACAATTCAATAAATAAATAAATTAGATCAAATCTTAAAAGTGGATAGGTAGTGAGTTTAAATAAATAACAGAAAAGTACGAAGGAGATGGAAAATAAGAAAGGATGGTAGGGTTTCGAATAGAATTCACCTAGGCAAGCAAGGGAGAGACAAAGGTAGAACGAACTTCTTTTGTCGTATGCAAATATTAGGATTGTTCTCTCGAATTAATTCCCATAGCTTCGGCTATGTGTAAAAGACGGATTCGAATTCCGTTCGAAAGGCTCGATGGAATGTGACAGATAACTTTGAAGGCACTACTTTAGTCCACTTGGTGACCGCTATCAATCAAATGAGCCAAAATAGAACTTCTTATAGATTTTATTTGACCTTTTCCGAACTATGAAGGAAGATGCTCATTAATGCGTTTGTTAAGCTGTCCGGTTGTTAGCCCTATATAGCTGCTATAGTTTACAATCACTTAAGAACTATATGATGTCTGGAGACAATTGGTGATATGGCTGAAAATCCTCGTTCTCGGTAATGGCTGGCTGGCGCAGATGCATTCACTCTTTGCGTGATTTGTCATATCATCCAATAAAACTCTTGAAAAGATTTATTTCCCGACATGAATTAAAAACAAGCAACAAAGCAGGTTAATAAGAGAGGATGTAATGATGGATTTATCGAATTTCGGTAAAACTCGTCAGCTGAATACTCTACATATACACGGATATATATACTTTTGAAATTACATTGGGAGATATAGGACTGATAAGCAAATAAACTACACTGAATTAGTCATGCACAACGACAAGTGCGAATGTTTTCTACGTCATGTTCAAATGGATAAGGGGAGAGAGAGTATGAGAGATCAAAATTAAGATAAAATTCATTACGCTTCATTTGCATCACTTAGATAAACAATTAGACATTAGAGAATATATCAAGAATTGCAAACGGAGTAATATCAATAGTAATAAATATAATAATAATAATAATAAGAGGTAGAATAATAAGTAGAACGCATTACCATGGTAGATTCAGAGTGACGACCATCTCCTTTTGTACACAGAGACCTGATTTATAAACTCGAATTGCACAAGCCTCCTCCGCAATTGCAAGCATCTTCCTGTTTCTTTGTCTGCTGACTGACAACAGTAAATAACTTGACAGCGTCGATGTCATGTCCACAGTCTACAAGATGTTTTGTTATTGAGGATTTTGGCACTTTGCATTTAGCTGTTTGCAACCACTTTGGCAAATGCTCCATCATGCGAGTAGACAATCGCCTTTCTGTACGACCTATGTATTTGCTTCCACAAACACACTCAAATTGATATACGCGGCAGTTTGAAGTGTCCAGGATTGGCGAGTACTGGTCAGGAGAAATTTTTCGTGCTGTATTGAACAGTGTTCTGACTAAGTGTATTTTTTTTATACTGGATTGGAACAAAGCTCTTGAAATGCATGTACTTTCCTATCCATGAAGACTTTCTAAATATAGATGTTTTGATTGTGCCATGCGTCATTTTCGATAGAAAAACGTCTAAGAAAATTAATGGTATCGTTTTCCTCATATTCTATTGTTCTTCCATATTACTGCTATTATTTTTCACTCACTAGCACTTCTGTCTGTTATCTCTCAATTGACTCTCTTCTGTTGCTTTGCGTGCTACAAGGAGGCAGAATGGCAACTCGAAATGCTACACTTCTGTACAAAGTAGTTTTTGTTGAAAGTAGTCACTCAGTCATATTAAGATATATGTAAAACTTGGGCACTGTGGTAGTAAGTAATTCCATATTAGTTTGTTTATTAGATATATCACACAGTCACAGAAACAGTATTATTTACTGGATGACAAAGTTTTGAACACAATTTATTGCTGTTCATAATCATATCATCAACTATAATCACACAACTTGGAAACTTGAGTTTCGTAGTTTTCTTTGTCCTCTCCTATTTGTCGTCGTTAGGGTGGTAGGATTTTCCAGATATCTGGCTGGACAGGTGTTGAATCATTCTTATTACACGTATTCTCTCTCAGTTGATTCGATAAACAAAGCTTCTGTTATCAATCTCTCCCTATACCCTGTGACATTAGATTTTAAAACTGTCATCCTATCCCATCCTATTGTATGGTTGTGTGTGACTGCATGTAGTGCTATAGCTGAACTATTCTCTAGATTTCTTATCTAAGGGTCGGGTCAACTAATCTAGATTTTGCCAGGTTTTTATGTTCAGCTAGTCTGACTGACCCTATTCTACTAGTTTGACCTATGTATCATTGCAGGCAGCGTATTAGATAAACTAAATTGTTTTTTTCTAAATGCTCCATAGGACTGATCCTTTAGACAAACGAGCTTGTTTCTAATTGAGTTTGTAGGTGGTTTGAATGCCAGTCACTTTTATTTCTGCCTGGTTGGTTAACAATTCTGCGTAAGGTGGTTTCCAAGGTTCCTTCCTTGTATGTAATTACTACTGATGATTTAGATCCCTTATTGTTGGTGTTGCCTTGCACATATTTGACATGCATGTCGTCATATATATATCCACCACACATACGCACACTCACGCACTCACACATACACAAAAATGAAACACGTGTGTGTTTCTCTATTCTAGGCAAAACAGATGATTATTATTATTATAATTACTAGTAGTGGTGGTAATTGTTGTAGTAGTGCAGCAAGTGGTATTTATTTATTATTGTTCTGATGGGGAAGGCATGTGTTAAACGCACACACACACACACACTCACACCTATTGTTTGTGCCACACCACTTAGCACAATAACAATAGTCTCATATGATTCATGGAACACAGGACACATACACACACCCGCAAACAGTAATCATAACAATACCACCATAAGTC